TATAACCTTTAAACTGTTCTTTTCTTACAAATTATGGTTGTCTTAGAAATTGAATCCCTGCATAATATTAACAGTTAACAATTATATTGCTTCATTAAGAAAATCATAGGTCACATTTCAGCTTAGCAGTCATTATGACATCATTTAATGAGATGAAGAAATTTTTACTTAAATTTGTCATTTTCAATAAATTTATATCTAAAAAGAATGTATCTTATATGACTTTGCCTGGACTGCACAGCGTTTGAGCATCATTAAATGTTGGAGCACAAACACAACATACACATAATAATGCTGGTTGTTTCTCATGCTGGATTGGCATGCACATCTTATCATAAGTAGCTAGAAGATAAGTAAGGGCAAGCCTGATGCTTGAGCCTAAAAATTTACCACCAGAAATAACTTTACTTTGGAAATCATTGGGGTTTTTTTGTTTTTTTTTTAGTTTTGCATCTTTGAAGATCTGTACTCTTGGGAAATAAATATATTTAATTCACCATGAAGTCAGCAAAAATGAGTGTCACAGATCATGTCATAACTGTCCAAGGAGGCAGCTTTGTCCTGCTTATTGTAACTGACCAGTCTACGTGCCCCAGTTAGTTATGCAGAAAAACCCATGTCCAATATCAATTTTTGAAATGAGAGTTAAAGGCTTTGCATGGAAGCACCAATTAGACTATAGAGGAAAGACAGGGCCTAGGGAAGGAGTTCAAGAATTGTCACATGGTTAAATTTGACTGGCTGGAATTGACCTGCCAAGTAACCTTGAATGACACAAGTATATTACTACCTGCTGAAAGCAGAAAGAAGACCAAGTTAATGTTGTAGTTGTAGTTTGAGAATTTAAAATATACAAAAAATGTCTTAAGTATATCCATTAAACAAAAATATCCATTCAAATTGAAAGCTGAAAGATAATTTACAAATTTTTGTTTCCCTAGGCCTAAAATTTTTATTGCTCCTTTTCAGCTGGACCCTGTCAATGTGTTTTTAACTGTTAGAAATGAATTTGCTTGTTTAGACTCAAATGAGATTAAAGATGTATTGAAAGGATGACTAATATGTTTGGTCATGCTGAAAACTTATATAAATGCTTTGTATGGAAAGGTCAAAAAGAGCGAAAAAATAAAGTGGGGATTAAACAAAACAGTTCCTTGCCCCTTTGAAAAAATACTAATGAAAGGTTTTTTTCCTGATTACTTTGTCCTAATATTGCATAATTTACTGGTTTGACTTTTGCTGCCTTTAGCCATTCATTTTTATTAAATAAACTCAAATGGTGCATAGTAGTGTAATTTAGAGCTGCTTTGTAGGGCCTTATCTCTGGAGTGGCATCCGTATTTATTTGGAATGGTTTGATTTTTACTGTGTTATATGTATCAGCTTTAAGGTTATATTGAGAGAGAGAGAGAGAGGGAATCAGAGACAAGAAGAGAGATCAGAGAGCAAAGAAATATTGAGCATAATGGACCTCATGTCACTTCTCACTTCACTGAAGGTACTTATCAATATTATAAAAATTTTCAAAGTCAAATGTGCCAAATACAGGTCATTGCCTGAATAAGATGAGTTATTTTGGCAGAATATCTCCTATTAAACCAAAAAATGGGTGAAAGAATTTTAGACCACAAACTAAAGGAGTATCTGCATAATTTGAGAAATTTGGACACACATAGTAACTGATAAGACAATGTCCAGGAGTCCCTACCCTTGTGTTGGATGTTCCTAAAAAAGGACTAGGGTCCCAGAGATTCTCTTGTGGACATGATCTGGCCAGGTCAGAGAAGTTATTTCTGAGAGTTTGGGCAGGTGACTATGCTGAAAATATCTGCAGAAGTCCACAACAAAACCCAGCTCTCTGGGCCCCACAAGGTCTGGGATGAACCTACACTTTCCAGTTGAACCTGGGGAAAGTTAGGGGTGAATCTTATCAGTGCTGTGTTGGATAGTGAACTGTTCAGTGTTGAGTAAAGGCTTAGTAAGTAATGGCATATAACCTTATGAGTTCATAAGGAAGGGGAGGAGAAAGACAGGTAAGAAAAGGGGAGGGTAGTTCATAAAATCAAGACATGAGGGATGCTGGGGTCATCCTCTTTAACTCTGCCTCCACATTAGGCACCAAAATTTAGGACAAAAAGTAAAAGAAGCAGGGGTACAATCTCAACAGAAGGGGCTTATTTCATTACAAACCTGAGAGGGACCACACTGGCACTCAAGACCAGATCAACAACTCTCATATTATTTATAAGGTCTATATAGTGTCATGAGCAAAAATTAATGGCTCTTTTTTAGGGAATTTCAAGTCAGGGAAAACATTTTCCCCAGTTGTTCCTCACAAGAAAGACTAAAATGCAGAGCACATAAAAATTTTAAAAATCAGCCCACCCAAATTTAAAGACCCAATCCAAAAATGGGAATCTGAGATGATACACATGTCTCAGATGAAGAAGTAGAAACTGCAAAGAAAGGCATGAAAAAATGTTCAACATCACTGGTCATTCAAGAGATGCAAATTAAAACCTTGAGATTCCACCTGCTCTGGAAAGAATGGCCATTATAAGGAATCAAGCAATAACATATACTGGTGGGGCTGTGGAGAAAAAGGAACCCTTTTACAATGTCAGTGGGAGTGTTGACTGGTGGAACTACTGTGGAAATCAGTGTGGAGATATTGCACAAAACTAGGATTAGAGATTCCATTGTATCCAGCCATTCCTCTTCTGGGGATATTCTCAAAAGAATTAAAAGCATCAAACCACAGCAATATACCCACACCCATGTTTATAATGGCACAGTTTGTAATAGCTAAATCTTGGAGAAAAACACAAAAGACCATCAATTGATCAATGGATAAAAAAGATTATTTTATAATGGATTACTGTTCAGCTACAATAAGGATAACCTTGAGGCATTTCTAGATAAATGGATGCATATTCTTAAATGAAATAAATTGAACACACATGTGTATCACATTTTCTGTCTGCTGAGAGAAACTGAAAGTGTAAATAAGGACTAAAAAGAATAATATTGGGAAATTGAAATATACTGTTCAAAATTATATGAACTTTGAGATACTTTATTAATAATCAAAAAGACATGGCTTGGGGTATCACAATCCCCAACTTGAAACTATACTATAAAACTACTGTGATAAAAACAGCATGGTACTGGCAAACAAACAGGCCTGAGAATCAGTGGAATAGATTAGAAGATGGAGAAACAACATCAGACATACTCAGCCACCTCATCTTTGACAAAGGTGCCAATCACCTTCAATGGAGGAAAAATAGCCTATTTAATAAATGGTGTTGGAAGAACTGTATTTCAACCTGCCAAAGATGAAAACTAGACCAATACCTCACACCATGCACTAAATTAACATCAAAGTGGTTTAAAAATCTAAATATTAAGACAGAAACAATAAACTTGCTGGAGGATCATTTAGGTAGAACTCTTGAAGACATTGGCATAGGAAAAGACTTTATGAACAAACTTCAATGGCATGGAAACTAGCAGAAATTGTCAACAGTTGGGATCTCATCTATTAAAAAGCTTCTGCACAGCAAGAGAAACCAACAGAGATAAGAGACAACCTACAATGTAGAAAAAATACTTAGCAGCTGTACCTCAGAAAAGGGACTACTGTCTACAATATGTAAAGAACTGAAAAAAAATAGAAACCCAAATTCAAAGACCCAATTCAAAAATGGGCATCTGAAATGAACAGATATTTCTCACACAAAGAAGTAAAAACAGCAAATAAATATAGGAAAAAAGGTTCAACAGCACTGGTCATTTGAGAGATGCAGATGAAAACAACACTGAGATTCCTTCCACCTCACCCCAGAAAGAATGGCTGCTATCAAGAAATCAACCAATAACAAATAACAAATGTTGGAAGGGTTGTCGGGAGAAATTAACACTTCTCCATTGTTTTTGGAAGTGTAGAGTGGTACAACCACTATGGAAATCATTATGGAGATACATCAAAGAACTTGGGCTAGAGGTCCCATTTGACCCAGGTATTCCCCTGCTGGATATCTTCCCAAAAGATTTAAAAGAATCATACCACAGTGATACATGTCCACCCATATTTGTAGCAGCACAATTTGTAATACCTAAAGCTTGGAAACAGCCCAAGTGCCCATCAACTGGGTAACTGGATAAATAAGATGTGTTTTTTAAAAATATAAAATGCAGTACTACTCAGCAACAAAGAATGAGAAGCTAGTCATTTATAGCTAAATGTATGCATATTGAGGCCATACTGTTAAATGAAATAAATAGGACACATATGTGTAAATACCAAATGGTTTCTCTAGTGTGAGAAACGGAAAATGTAAATGAGGTTCAAAAGGATTACTAATGAATAATTGACACTTGAAATAGGAAATCTTCCAAGGGGTAGGGGTAGTAGGAGGGGAATGAGAATGTAATGAAGGGAAAGGAAAAATTGCAAGAAAAGAAAAAAAAATGGAAACAAAGTCTATGTAAAAATGGAACACTGGAGGGTGTGAAGGGCATACAGATAAGGGGGGAATATATAAACCAAGATACATCATGTACAGGTGCAAGCATCCAGTGATAAATGTAAGCATATTGTATACCTAAAATGTACCAATAAAAGAGTTTAAGGAGAAAAAAAGAATGGAAAGACATCCCTTGCTCCTGGGTAAGAAGAATAAACATCATGAAAATGACCATTCCTCCAAAACTGCGGTATAGATTCATTGCAATCCCAATTGAGATCCCAGCAACATGCTTCATGGACCTTGAGAAAACATTCCCAAAATTCATTTGGAACAAGAAGAGACCCAGAATAGCAAAAGCAATTCTAGGTTGTGGGGAGCCTTGTCCCACTCCCCCGCTAGTACTCTTGAGTGCCTTTTACGGACATGTCTAAGCCTGCTGCAAGTCTACCCGGCAACAAGGAAGTAGCCCCAGTACCCTCCCCTTGCTCCCTCCCTCTAGCCCTACGGTATATATGCTGTAGCAGCTTCCGCAATAAACGAGACTTGATCAGAAACCTGTCTTGTCTCCATCTCTCGTGTCCCCTGTCCTTTGTCATTCTCACTCCCCCTCTAGGGTCTCCGTTGACTTACCCGCGGGCCGGGACAAGTGGCGCCCAGTGTGGGGCCAGAGAACGGGGGATCCAGTGAAGAACGCTGCTCGGGGGCCCAATAAAATAAAATAGAAAAAAGAGGATTGCGTCTGACGTGAACCTGCTGTCTTTCCTGCACCTCGGTGAGTTGAGCAGCGATTATGGGACAGGGCATTAGCCAACATGAGTTATTTGTACAAGGTCTTAAAGAAACTTTACAGGCACGAGGGGTGAAGGTTACAGTCAAACAGTTGTTAAAATTTTTTGATTATATTAGAGATCTCTGCCCTTGGTTTCCCGCCAAGGGTACCATTGATGAGAGGTGATGGAAAAGAGTAGGGGAGGCCCTTAAGGATTATTATGCTACTTGCGGACCAGGAAAGGTCCCGATCACTACATTTTCTTATTGGAATCTTATTAATGATATTATCTCTCAAAAAACCAAAGATCCGGTGGTGGCTCAAGCCATCCAGGTCGGGGAGATAGCTCTCCGATTGGAGGAAGGGTCGATCACTCTCCCTCGGAGTGAGGAGTTTGTAAATACCCTGCAGGACGCCAAGATGGCGCCAAGGCCCGAGCCCCTGTGGGACGGGACTCCTTCAAAGGATGAAGGAGAAGACTTGATGTCTTTTGATAGTGACGATGACTCAGATAAGAAAAAACAAAATGTTATTGATGAGGGTTTACAGGCGGGCTCTGCCTCTTCCAAGCCTTTTAAAGAAAAGCTTCGGCGCTCCTCAGCTTCCACCTCCGCTCTTTCAGCCCCTGCCTCTGACCCTGCCCCACCTGTTAAGGAGGAACCAGCCTTGTAGCCTTCCCTCTGCCACCTCAGACACCCCCCCTTCCCACAAAACGGTCCGGGGGAGGCTGACTGGACCAATCTTGAGGAGGAGGCAACCAGATATTGCAATCCTGATTGGCCACCCGTAGTTCAATGTCTGCCTCCTTATCTTCCAGAACCCAACACTCCCATTGCGCCTGCTTTGACATGCCCTGTTGTTGATCCCCAAAAGGAACTCCAGGACAAGATAAAATTTCTAAAAGAACAAATAAGATTAGAAAAGGAACATCAAGAACTTATTGCCCAGCTCAAAGGCTTAAGAACAGGCAAAGCCCATGAAAATGTCCGTAGAGAGGACAAATTTAAGCCACGACCCCCCATTAGAGGGGTGACCCCTAGGGTGCCATCCGGGTCGGGAGTATCCCTAAAACTTGAAAATGCGGAAGCCTTTCCCGTAACTGAAACTACTGACACACAGGGACAGGCGTGGAGACACCACAGTGGTTTCGATTTTAAGGTTATTAAAAAACTTAAAACGGCCACAGCTCAATATGGGGCCATTGCACCTTACACAATGGCCATTTTAAAATCGGTGACAAAAAATTGACTTCTCTCACCAATATCCGACAGGGGCCTGATGACCTCTTCGCGGATTTTGTTCACCGCCTGCTCACAACAGCGGGTCAGACTTTTGGGAGCACAAAAACCGGGACAGATTTTGTTAAACAGCTTGCTTTTGAAAATGCTAGTGCTGCTTGCCAGGCTGCCATCCGCCTTATAAAAAGAAAACTGATCTCTCAGGTTACATTTGCCTTTGCTCAGAAATTGGGACCACCTACCAACAGGGACTTGCCAGGGCTGCCGCCATGCAGGGTTACACGGTCAAACAGTTTTTGTCGCGCTGCCCGGGTAACAAATGTTTCCAGTGCGAGACAAAGGGTCGTTTTGCCAAAGAATGTCAGGCCCCTAGGACGTCGGCCCCTAGGGCCACACCTCCGGGGCCTTGCCCTAGATGCAATAAAGGGAGACATTGGACAAATGAATACAAGTCCATGACTGACGCTCAAGGCTGACCCCTCCCGCTTGTCCATAACCCGGACCAGGGAAACGGGAAAGGGGGCCAGCCCCGGGCCCCCACACCCAAACAAATTTACGGGGCACTCAATTTTGCTCCAGCAAACAACAATCCATTTCAGACCTCTTCAGAACAGCAACGGGAAGTGCCAGACTGGACCTCAGTTCCACTGCCCACACAGTATTGACTCCAAAAATGGGGGTACAGGCCCCCCCAACAGGGGTCTTTGGACCCCTACCTAAAGAGACCTTTGGGCTTGTAATAGACAAGAACAACAACACTATGGATGGGCTGCTGATCTACCCGGGGGTAATTGATAGTGATTATTCCAGAGAGATTAA